TGGTAACTCTCGTCAAAAAATTGTAAACTGCTCTAACTCTCATGATGATACTGTTCAAGTGCAGAGTAAGAGCTTTTTTCCTAATCAGTTATTTATTTCTATTGGCTGAACGCTCAGTTTTTAAGTTTCCCTTAGAAATGACTAGCAATGCCATTAAATTGAAACAACCTACACGTCGCTCATAGTGGTAGATCTGCCGTACAAGAGAGATTCTGGGGGCATCCACTTGGCTGGAAGACGAGCCTTGAAAAGAATAATCATATAGACCTTAAATATGATTTCAAAAAAAGAGACAACTGAAAGTTTTAAACAACTTTTTCATCAGTTAGTAAATAAGCAAGTGAAAAAATAAGGATCGTTGGCGCAAAACTTTGTAGTTATATTGAGATATTATTGTTAATCACCTTAGTTTTTCTCGTGTAAATATCTCCCTCCAAACCACGCGCTAAACCAAGGTCTGAAATCTTGCACACTTTGTTGTCCCCAACTAACACGTTGCGAGCTGCTAAATCACGATGAACAATCTGAAACACAGCACAATAACTCAAGCTTGATACCCCGAGATATTTTCAGAAAAGCGCATTTGCATCTTGCTTTATATCACTTGTTTTAGTAGGTACTGCAGCCTATCCAAGAACGGCAACAGGCATAAAAGACTAAGAAGTGATTCGAAACCATTCCTCCTAGGACGATATCAGAAAGTTGCACTGTAATTTTTTTTTATATAACACATCACTCCCATGTCACACATGACCATAAGGCGTAATTAGATTTTAGATGCTTTAACGTAATAGGTGTGGTATGGTTACCTTCATTGTTGACAAATAGCTCATACCATCAGCGATCATCCATGCAAAGGACAAGAGTTCCTTATCTGTAAGTGTTGAGCTTGGTCTCTTTTCTCCTGTGTTATAAGTATCCTCGATCCCTCTGCTCTTGCGCAAATATCCCAACAGATCACCGTATGGCAAATACTCCAACACTATGAGGAGTGGATCTAGAAGTATGTAACGGTGCTGAATCAGTTAATCTAATAAGTCTTTAAGTGAATTATTAAATTAGGTTGTCAGCAAGAAATCCGAAATTACAACTAATCATAATTTCCAGTACCTTTTTCAATACAACAGCCAATGAGCTCAACAACATGGGGATGAGGCCTCAAGGTTTTCATGAGATCTAACTCAGTCAGCATGTCTTGTAAGTCTTTCTTTTGGGCATCGCCTAGAAAAATTGGTAAAGATTCAAATGCCAACAATTACCGTGAGTTTCAAAGAAAACGATGTTACATTCTCAACCTAATATTATAATAGATTTTTTTCCTCGGTTTTGAACGAGAATGAATTTATGAGTTCGTAAGATAAGATAGTAGAAAGCCATTTTTAAATGGCTTATTAAAATAAACTTATTAAAATAAAACTTATTAAAATAAGTTAGGCTTGAATTCAAGAAATTTTGTCGTCTTTCATGAGGCGATGTAACAATGCGTTTGAAAAATCAAGAGTACCTTTCAATGACTTAACAGCCACTTCGGAATTTAAAGGTTTATAGACTGCTTTGGACACTTGACCAAAGTTGCCACTCCCAAGCACCTTTACTGTTGTTATTTGATCTCGGCCAAGTCTAAAGGGATCCACTTTTTGCCGTTCAGCTGCAAAACTCATTGCGACGTCTATGTAAAATTGTTAGTGATAACAATTAACGATAGTACATACACAGCATAAATAGGATGGGTGATTAAAGATTAAATCTGTAGTCCCCGCAAAAGCAGCCTAGTTTTATCTCGCAAATGTGCTTGAGTCAAATATGAAAAGATATAAAACGACGATGTGGAGACTTCCGAACTGTTTACAATTTTTTCCTATTTTTGGTTGTTGTTTTTTTCTTTCTCTGAATTTGACTTTGCTATCTAAGCAGATTGAATGGAACAAACGACGTTTGCATTAAACACGCCGACAATTTCCTATCAAGTGAAACGTCAGCAAATGACATACAGTGACACTGCATTAGTTGATCAATTTAGTTCAAAATGACAAAGTCCCCATATTTTCTCTTTTAATGACATAATATTGCAACTTACCCTCATGAATCATAACACTGGTTTCTGTTGTTTTAGGAATTTTCTCACGGTTTGCATTTCTACGACGGTTCCATCTGACAAAAAATAGCATCAAATTAAATTCGTTGCAAGTATAGCTTAGAAGAAACAAAGCATCAACAATCTTTTAAGCCACAGTATAGACGCGTCAGTACCATCATTGTTAAAACTCAGTCTACAGATGCTTGTTGAACTTGTTGAACATCCCTTTAGCCAATAGTAGTCCTTGAAATCCTGCGAAGAGTGGTACTGTACAGGAATAGTAACCTCATGTTTAGTTTCATTAGTGTTCCCACACTTACCTGTTGTAGATGATGTAACATGCAAAAGACAAAATGCAAAGTACCAATGAACCAACCAATCCATGGATGATTTTGAGATACATGGTCACATCGGGTTCTGTTGAGTGAATGGAAGGAATGTTTCATTTATTACAGTAAAGCTGACTAAATCAGACTAGAAATTACTTTTCTGTCATGCCGTATATGAAAAATTTTTCTTTTGGTATATTTGTTTGTCCTCGTCATCCTGACCCACCAGTGGTCTTGTCAGTTTGCAAAGTCTATATTAACGTTTATTTCGTAAGCACTCTCATTTTCGTCTGATAAAGTGAAAAAATAGCCTCGTGGCAAAGTCTTCTCATAGTGGTCTTCGGCTAGGTTTGGTCGGTGTCACTGTTGCTTAGCAATTATGTCAATCTTAGGGGTAGATTGGCAAATCAACGATTTACAAACTAACCTTCTCTAAGTGTGAATGTCTTCACACCAGCAGGACCCCTACCAAGGTCGTTTATAGCAAATACCTGAGGAGAAGAATCAAAAAGCCTGAGATATTTCTTCCTCAAGAGCAAACAAAAAAATGGCTACTTCGAGTGTTGTAAGACTGCAGGGTGCAAAATCTCGTCCAATTAAAACCACGATACATTAGAGGAGTATCGTAACTGCACCAAAACACTATTAAGTCTTTAAGATGAAAAACGTTGAGTTTAAGTTACTTTAAACAATCTTATTTTATTAAATTTTTAAAACCTTAATAGTATTGACCAATTCGACGATTTAAATACAATTTAAACTGAAGTAAAAAATTCTGTCTACCTGGAATTCATAAGTCTTTCCCGCCTTTAGATCAAACTGCGCTTCCATTTTCTTAGTGGCAAGAGTATGGGTTTCTGACAAATCATCCTCTCTTATATATTTCACGTGGTACTCTTTGAGGATACCGTTCATGTCCTTAATTTTCCAAGATACAACAACAGCCGTTTCCGGTTGCTCAACAAACACTTCTGGTTTCCCTGGAACTAGTTTTTCAAAAGAGATAAATACACCGTCACGACCTTAGGTCATCTATCGTTACTTTCGCGGAAACTTAATTTAAAAAAAATAGAACTTATTTCGGGGGATTTTTTCAGTATTCGCGATTTGAACAAAAATATGTTTTAAAAGGAACTAAATATAGCAGAAAATGTCAAAATAGTGATCTACATTAAAAAAAAGTTGGTATAAGAATTGGCACTGTTCTTAATATTCCATAACAATAGCTTCAAATGTTGCTGAACAAGACAATATCATAACAAACGAAACTGAAAAAAGTTTGACGTGTCCCTTCTACCTTACGACGATGACAATGTCTTCGAATGGATCTTAGGGAGAAAAAGCTGGCTCTTTCTTTTCTACCCCAGAAACTCCTGATTTTTAGTGGGCCTTGAGGGAAGAACGAAATCATACGTATCTCATGAAGCAGCAATGAAAGTGGTAGAAAGTGTAGGTTTGGGTATAGCTGCCTTGTTTCAGTAAAACTCATAATGTTTAATTTGATATCGTTTTTATCGCTGTTTGATGATTGAAGTGCTAGATGAGAAAATTTTAAATTTTAGAACGATGTTATAAACCCTTATTATTCAAACCAAATTTTAAATCAAAATTTTTGGAAAAGTGCTAAAGCGTAAATTTCTATGAGACTCGACCCACGCACAGAGTGAGAGAGATAAGCATATCGATAGGAATTGATGTGATATTCTATTCAGTCCTCGAACTCACTAACCTGATCCGTTGGTCCTTACAGTTATTTCCGTAAGGTTTGCTTCAATTCCATATTTTATTTTCGCTAATTCGCTTACTCGGTTCTTAGCGAAGATTTTCATAGTGTAGACTACAAATGAAGATAGATTTCCAATAATAACATGGGTAACGTTCAAGCCTTCCTTTTTTGGTGTGAAAATGACGTCACTTCCGCAAACTTTATTCACGCACTTGTCGTGGTCTTC